TAGACAGGTACAGAACGGAAAATATCTCGACAGGATACTGTGCACATAAATCAAATGCCAATGAGTGTATGGAAGCTGTTGACAGTGTCGACGCGCGCTGCAGTGATCGCTCGGCTTACCTGCCCCAAAATCTTCCGCTGACTAGGTAATCTGACATCCCGCCTCAGGCTAGACCGAACGACGCGTCGACGCGTCCAGCTTCACCATACACACCCACCACAACGGTCGTGGAATGCGCCGCTCCTTACATGATTTAATGGCTGCTTCTGCCTCAGTACAGTCATCGCAGCTACATTGTCATGCTCCAACGCCACGAGCTTCGATCATCGCTAAACTGTATCAATTCAGGCGCGTCTATCAACACCGTGTACCATTGCACCAGAGAGGAGCTCAGCACCCGCCATCAATCTCTCCGTCACCATGCCGAGGGTAATTGATGGCTCATCTTCGCAATGAACGACAGTTTGAACGGCGCGTCTCAATTGTTGATGTATCACAGTCCAGCTTGTGCAGGTAATGATGGCACGCACCTTCTATCGCATCTACAGCAAACGCCCGCACAATAATACCGCAAAGAACTACTGATCCGTTTCAACCAAATTCTATCGATTAGCATGGCCGCAAAACCAAGCTCCAAGCGATATGGTTCAGCGGACAAAGATAAGACAACCACATCTTATGGAACGAAGGCCAGGAAGGCTTGCAGCTATGACCACTTGGCTTCATGTTATTCACATCACCCAGACTGTTCTCCGACTCACGGCGATGGGCAGCATGAGTGCACACGTGGGAGAAGCGGTGGAAACACCCGTCGTGGGTTTTAGGTTCCGAAGGTCGAGGGTCCAAGGCCAGTGTCATTGCTGAGCAGGTAACGCCTTCACTGTATCTCGGCGGCGATAATACTTTGTACTGTTGAGTGAAACGGAACCACAGTAGAGTCGCTTGCCACTAAACCTTTTTCGTAGTACGCTTAGAACGCAGTGTGGGTCGGGCCCCCAGCTCTACACCTTCGACTGCTCGTGCACCTTACGCAAAGATTATATCCAGGCTGCTCACCCTTCACCTCCCCACCTCCCGCCGGAACTACTTGTTCTTCTGCTCCTCCGCTTTCGCGTACTTGTCCGCCGCTCAGTCTCAACTAGTCACACACTACCGCGCTCTTCCATTTCCGCCGCGATGAAGGCACTCAATTTCTTGTCATGGACGGGATTAGTCGCTTTGGTCGCAAGTGAGCGTCTTAGCCCGCCACGTGGGCCTCTCTTAAACATCTCAGCCCTTCACGGTTCCAGGAGGAACACCATTCCAATCGACTTTGCTGGCTATAACCCTGCGGACCCCGGCTTCGTCGTCCATACCTCGGCAATCAGCGATGAAGAGTATGAAAAGGCGGTATGTCGAGGCCAGAAACTCTTCCTCGCGATGACCAGAGACGGCAATCAAGGCACACGTTACATCGATCCCCTCAACAGCCCTTGGGACGGCAGCCTCGAGGCAGAGGGATTGAAATGGGCTTGGGATATGTGGGAAGACGAGGACTCTTGGTGCGCCTTCGGTCACCAAGGGATGACGACCGCTTTCAAAGGTCTCAGCATCAGCGATAAGTCGCTCGACGACGGAGGAGACAATCAGTGTTTCAGCGCCTTCCACTACAACAGTCCGGCCGTTCTCTTTGATCCAAAAGATTCCTTCTACTTGGATGACCCCGATGGTCGGATGTTGCCAATCGACAAACAATACTATCTTGATCCATCGGGCAAGAGGCAGCGGGTAAGTTGGGTTTGCGCATCAGCCTGCTAAGCCGACTATCATAGCAAATTCCGGGGAATGACTGACACAGAGCCCAGTGCACAGCTTCCACGTACACGTTCGGCGTCAATCCCAAGGCGGGCGTACTCTTCTTCATCTCGCGCAGTAGCCCCTTCGAAACCGCAAAGATGCTCTGGAAATACACCCCAAAGACCTCTGAGCTACCCGAGCTGCGCGCCAGTTCTGACTTCGCATGGGGTCTCTGGAATAAGCTACGTGGAAAGGATAACCTTGGTGACATCCGCAAGATTTTCAGCCTGTACATCAACAACAAAGAGACGCAATCTATCATCGATAAAGCGATCGCTAAACAGGCCATCAAAGAGCTGAAGAAGTGGCCAGGAACGGAGATTGATCCAAAGTCAGAGGAAGGACTAGCGATTATCGGTGAGTGTCTCTCATTAGCATCGCGTTTTACCTTCAGTTACTAACAAGATCGCTCAACAGGTTCCGCGAACGGTCGAGCCGCAGGTTATTTCCTTGCGCAACACAAGAAACAGTTGGGCAAAGACAAGTACATCTCCAAGATCAACGTCTTCCTGACCGATAAGGAAGACCCTCTGAGAAACATTCTCTTTTATGTCGACGATGTGCCTTCGCCGCCGCCGGAGATGGCGGAGCCGGAAGATAAGGACAAGGGCAAGGATAAGGGCACTGGATTGGTGGAGTCGGACCTTGTTGATGGGGATGGTACAAGTCTTGTAAGACGACATGTGCTCTTTGCAGGTCGCTAAGACTAGGTACGTAGAAACCGGCCTTCAATGCTGCGCCTCAAGTAGATGGTTTTGTGTACATGAAGGAAACACTTGGATGGTTAGACAACATCGGTTCGGTTCGAGAGCATGCGATCACTAGCACAAAGCGAGCCCTATTGAAAGCACTCAATGTACGCCTAAATTCCAGAAGCGATGATGCGTACAAGAAAACATTATCGAGATTTTGCCTTCTCCAATTTAACTATCCCTCCGCCTCTCTATAACGACTTTGCAAACACTTTATGACTCCTCACAATGCTCTTCCCGTCTTCAGACCGCGCTACCACTCGATCCTCGTCCTCTTCGATAGCAACAGGCTCATCCAGCGCCATATCTCGCATCTGAATCTCCTGCGGAGGAGGTGGCGGTGGATACGGCGCCGGCTTAACAACGAAGCACATATACGGCAACGCTGGTACCCCCATGAAGGGACTTCCCGGTGCACCCTGGAACACATGTATAGCCGACACGTATCTGTTGTGACCAAACTGGGGTTTATGTTGTCCGAGCAGGTAGCCTGCCGCGATGCCGTTCGGCGAACCTAGAAGTCATACATCAGCACTGTGTAACATTCTGCAAGCAAGAGGCCGTGTGGAACATACCCAACAAAGCCCAGTATTCCGTAGCCATTCCAGCTTCGAATACCTCTCCCGGCCAGGGTCGTACCTCTCGGCCTTCCAAAGCGCGCGCGATGATGGCGCGTGTCTCTTCGTTGGTGATCCGGTGGGAGAAGATGTAGTTGATGTTGGCGAGGTTACCGGCGCTCATCCTTTCCCATAGACCCCAGGCAATGTCTGAACTCGAAGCGAGGGCCGGGAGCTGGTCTTTTGGAGCTTGAGCGACGCCCCATAATTGTTTGGCCGCAGATTGGGCTGACCGGCGGTTGATCATGTGGATGACGCCGTCTTGCGCGTTGATGCCGATGGTGTGGAATGCGCCTGTGATCCTGTAGCTTCTACTGTTTACGACGTACTGCTGTTGGTTTCTGGCTGGTAGCTGACCGTTTGGCAACCGCTGGACGACGGCACTGTCTCTGTGGACGTAGGAGAAACATTTGTTCGGCCCGCCATCCGGAGCGCTCCTCGCGCTGATTCCAAGAGCCTTCAGCGCCGTTTCGAACATTGGCTTCATGGTGAAGTCGCATTCGTCTTTGATATCTCTGTTTTCGCTGTTGTCTAGGTAGCCCCACAGCGCAAGCTCGTTGACAAGTGTCCCAGTCCATGGACTGTTCAGTGGAGTACCGAATTGCTGCGCTTCTTGTGGATTGAGGGTGTCCATTAGCTGGAGCTTCTGGCCGCGGCAACCGGCAGTCACCCATAGGAAGTCGTTTGCTGGCGCGATGGGTGCTCTTTTGAGTAGGCTATGACCGTCTTCAGTGACCAGGCTGGAGAGATCGAGTGACGTCTCGTTGACGGAGGGCGTTAGAGCCTCACCCGCGACGAGGCTCTGAAACGCGGCGAGACATGAAAGTAGGTGGACTTTCATGTTGTAGATCGGTGGTAGGCGCTGCGGTGAGAGAGTACATGAGAGATGTAAGCGGGTCTATGGAGTAAAGGGCGTTAGTTCTAGTAACACGACGCGTACGGACCCGGAATGACGCGAGTGACACTCGGAGTGTTTGCAGTATGAGTGAAAGATCATCAAAGGTAAGCAGCAAGAGTCAGAAGCGTTATGGTGGCGAGTCTGAGAGTGAAACACACAGATATCAGTCGATCCGAGGCAGTAATTGAATGAGCATCTCGTACATACTAAGCTGCCATATATGTGAGCCGGTGTATTGTGGCCCAAGTCTTATGCGTTTGATCGTATTTTCACAGTTTCGCCCGAATCACATGCTCTCTGATGACGTTCTTCTCACCGTTACCTCTTCTAACCACTTCAAACCCATTTCCTTCTGGCGGCAATAAGTTCTCTATTGGTTCCTCTGGTACTGTTGGCGGCGGAGATGGCGCCCAATTGACGCGGAAGAAAAGGTGAGGCAGTGTCGAGTACTCGTAGGGGCGGAATATGTGAATAGACTCAACATATCTATTGCCGCCAATCTTTGCCTTGTGTTGCGCCAGCAGATATCCTACAGCTCTACCATTGGGTGATCCTAGATTCGCATTGGTCGTTAGTGACTTCCCAAACCCGAAGCATAAGATGCTTTGCATCACGAGTGTGGAAGAATAGAGAATTTCAACGTACCCAGAAGAGCCAGATAATGTACGGAGTGGACGTCAACCACAGTTCCTGGCCATAGCTGTACCGTTTCGAGATGCTTGTCCACCAATACCCTATCGATAACTCTCCGCGTTTGGTCGTTGGTGATTAACATGGAGACGACGCCATTGATATTCCCCAGGTTTTCACCACTTACTCGGTTCCAGAATCCCCAGGCTACGTCTGAGCTCGTACGTAGAGCCGGCAACTCATTTGGTGGAATGGGAACATGATCCTTTACCTTCCAGAGTCTGCGGGCTTGATGCTCAGCGGACCCTCTGCGAAGGAAGAAAATTATACCAGCAGCTTGATTGATGACGACGGTGGAATAAGCGTCCGTGACCTAGAAGCACAAAGCCATTAGTTAAGGCCAGTGAAAGGAGTCGGCGCATGAGCTTACCCTGTACCTCACACCATCGACAATATACCACTGTTTGTCCTTGGGTGGCAAGATTCCATTTACTCTTTCCACGACAGCGCTGTCACGATGTTCGTAAGAGAAACAGTAGTTTGGCCCGCCGTGAAGATTGTTTACTTTGGAAAGTCCCAGGGCGTCTAGCATTGGCTGGAGAACGCCGATCTCGCAGTCGTCATCAGGATCACTAGTTCCTTCCTTGTAACCCCAAGTGAGAAGTTCGTTCCTGAGGTCGCCATCCCAGGGAACTGTCAAGGGATTGACAAACCGGGCGGCTTGCGGTGGGTCCTGGGTACACGCAAACATGAGTTTGGCGCCCCGACATTTCGATGCATGCCAAAGTGCTTCAGTAGCAGGAACTGGAGGTCCAAGCCGTACGTCATCATCGTCAGTATCGCTATCGTCGCTGTCGTCGCTATCGTCGTCGTCATCGTCGTCATCGTCGCTATCGTCGGGGTCGCCTGCTACGTGCACAGTGAGGTTCTGAGATTCGAGAGTGACGGAAGTGACGTTGGTAAGATTGCGCAAGGCCTCAGTCGCGCCGAGGGCAACAAGACCCACGATGCAGAAGATCTGCGTGAACTTCATCTTTTCGACTCGCGGTGCTGCAGGTAAATTTGCGTGCGGGGTAACGACAAGAGGAAGGAGAGAAGGTGGAAACTGGAGCCTTCACCGGACAAGCGAGCGGCGCTTGCGACACAAAGTGAAGGTGAGAGAAGGGGCCGAGGGGATGTGAGGCAAGAGCAACACAGAGCTGAGATAAGAAAAATGCTGGGAAAGAGAAAGCACGTTCGACCCAACATGCTGCACTGCTGTATCTCAGCCACTGGTCAACTCATGTGTAAGCCTGTATGCTGTCTCATCGCAATAGCTTTGAGTTGTTAGGTTTTGACGAACGCACTTACCCTCTTGCAATATGCTATAGCCTTCCCATCAAAGCTTCGCCCAAACAACATGTTCCCTAACCAACTCCTTCCCATCCCTACTCCTCCTCACTACCTTACCCTCTCGAACCGCCGCGCTACCCTTCTGCACCGGTTTCTCCGGCGCACCAGGAGTGTCATCTAGATCCGGCATCGGTGTTGTATTCTTGTCAACGTGAAAAATGAGATTAGGCTCATCATCAAACTCATCGCCATCGTTTCTAAATATCGTGATCTTGTAGATGAAATTTGCGCCACCGAGCTGCCTTTTGTGTTGTAGAAGAAAGTAGCCAGCGCCGAGTCCATTGGGCGAACCTAGAGAGTGTCAGAGCGAGCAGTAGGCGGTGCACAGGAAGTATGACGTACCGATAAGTGCAAGAGCAGCTTCAGCCTCAGCTTCATTATCTGACCCAACAACAATCTCCCTCCCAGGCCATCTCTTCAGCTCTGTTTCTCCCACCGCCTCCAAAGCCTTCGGTATGATCGTCTCCGCCGTTTGCGTATTGACAATCTGAAGAGCCATAATCATCTTAATTCTCGGTTCGCCAGGAACCCTGTTCCAGAGCGCCCAAGCCAAGTCAGAGCTCGAGCGGATCTTGGGCAAGTCGGCTTTATCGACTTGTTCCGGTTTTAGATTCCATAGATCTGCGGCTCCCTGCTCGGGTGACATTCGGTTGAGAAAATAGAGGATACCGTCGTTGCGGTTTATGCCTACGGTACTGTAAGCGCCGGTGACCTGTCGGTTTGTTAGAAACTGGCCCAGTGGGCGTTCTGTTGCTGGAGCTCTGGATTACTGACCCTGTACGTCTTGCCATCCGCCTCGTAACGCTGACTAGACAAATAAGGCATCTTCCCATTCTTGTCTAGGATGACCGTAGGCCCATTGCTATGCTGTAATTTGAAGCAATGATTCGGTCCACCCTTCCCTGCTGGTCGCGCATCAACACCGAGAGCATCGAAAGTGTTCTTCATTTTCAAGGTCTCGTCGAAGTCACATGAGTCATCAACCTGTGCATTCTCCTCTTCGTCATCGAGCCAGCCCCATTTTCTCAGTTCGGATTTTAGATCGCCGTCCCAAGGGCTTTGTGTGTAAGGCCATTGCAGCATCGTGTTGCTTTCTTCTTCGTCGAGGGACATGGCTCGGACAAGGGCGGCGCCGCGACAATAAGCCTTGTGCCATATGGGGTCATGATCTGGGGGTGGCGGTGTGTCGACAGCAAGTACGGGATCTACGGCGGCAATCGAGACTTTCGAGCTTGAGTTGATGGTAGTGAAATCTTCATGTAGCTCTCGTCGAGCTACGACCCCTCTCGTAGCCGAAGCAACAAGACAGACAAGATAACCGTAGAATAGCAGCTTCATCCCAATAAAGAGTAGTAGTAACAGTTTGGAATAATAAGAGCAAGGGGTTTGGATGGAGGTAAGGTCTATACAGGTATAAACTCCTGATGTGAATCTGTAATGTCTACCATGACGCAATTCGAGAAGCGGAAATGTTGCAATCAGCCTCTAGGTAGGAGTGAAACATAGTGTCAAAGACCGCCTTGTCGCGGACTTCCAAACGCTCAAGCCCCCCACTTCTTCTTCAACGCTTCCACTTGAGTCGCATTAACGCCCAACACACTTCCGTGCCTCAAGTTCTGAGGCCAGGCGCTCCTGTCACTCGCTGTCCATTGGCCACCCCTTACGTTGGTACTCTCGTAAGGCCTATACCCATCCGCTCCATAAAAGTCCAGCAAGAGATGCGCCTTGCCAGCTACTTGGTTGTCCCAGTAAGGCGCGGGGCCCTCTACGCCGGATGCAATGATTGCATTGGCACCTGCAGGCCTGGACCAGGTGCCGAACAGTCCGCTGGTCGAGATCTCCGTGTAGACTGTTTTCGCGCTCTCGTCCTTCAGAAAGCGCGCGTACGCGTTGTTACCGAGAGACAGGAATTCCTGGTCGATGACGTTGATGGGAGATCGGTTGATGTAGTCTTGAGGCGTGCTAAAGGTCTTGAAGTCCTTGGTGTATGCGTAGCGGATGCGAATCGACGAAGGAGAGCCAGTGTGTTGCGGGTCGGAGGTGGGATAAAACTTGCTCGCCCAATGAACGAAGTACTGGCCTTTGGCTTCGTCAAAGATAGCGCTGGGTGCCCAAACCATTCCTGCAGTCGCGTCTTCAACAGTAACGAGGCGTTCATTGGTCCATGTTACAAGGTCGGCGGACTCCCAGACAAAGATGCCTCGAGATCCCGTGCGTTGGGATGCGTCCCACGTTGTCTTGCCGATGTTCAAGTCGGTGCCAATGATGTACCACTTTTTGCCAGCTTCAGCTGCTCCACCGGTTATAATGGCCGGGTCGCGGACTCCAAGAGTGCCTTTCGTCGGGTTGATGACAGCTTGGCCTTTGTTCAAAGCAGTCATGGAGTTGGCGTTGTTGCCGTTGGAAAGATAGAAGTACACAGAAGGTTTGTCGCCGAGGAAGAAGACACCGAGATAATTCGTCAGAGCCGCATCGGCACGAGATGCAATGGCATGTCTTGAAAAGTCGAGGGTTTGTGACGGCAGAGCAAGAATGCTGGGAAGCAAGCTGCACAAAGTGAGGAGACGCATCGTGAAAGGTGTACAGTAAGCCCGGATATGACGAGCAGATGAGAAGGCGCAAGGCCACTTATAAAGGCTGTGAAATAAAGTTCCATCCGGCGTTGCCACATAGTTTGTCAAGGATACGACGTCACGAGCGTTGCGCAACGGCTGTCCCTCCTAAGATGGCTAGGTACCCAAGCTTCCGTGAACCCTAGGAGCGTCAGACCAGGAAGGTGACCATCTTTGCGGGGTAACGTAGTCACAAAGTCAGTAGCACCTCTTCTGGTAGGTGGGTCTGGGGATAGATTAAGTTGGATATGGGGTGTGGTATTAATCCGGCGCTACCGGTTTCCAAGGCGCTACATGAGCAGCCTCGGTAGTTCGGCCTAATGCAAATGCCACAACAAGATGGTTCCATCGACCAGAATAAGAAGGCAGTCGAATACGCATAGTCCTTTTTCGTGTTCTGGGGCACAGGAAATATTCGCGAGTGTCCGGTAGTCGGCCTCAGGACTCGTCAAGTTTCGAAGCTGGTCCTGCATTGGTCACCCTCACTAGCCATGGCAGACTCACCGCATAGTCACCGACAATACCGTGTTTAACGATCTATACAATGCCAGCGCAGATACACACCACGTTGTGGCTGATTGTGTGGACGAGGAGACATCCGATATATCATAGGTGCGTGTATGCCCTGCTTGCTCTTGTGTAGGCTTGGATGGCCTTCCAATAGCTCAGTCGTCATCGCTATCGTAACCAGCGACAAGCATAGTCGATAGTTTCGAGGGCTGTGCAGCGGCTTTAGCCTGAGGCGCGGGTGTCGAAGCAGGCGCCTTTTTCTTGAGGCCTAACGCAGCGCTAAAATCTTTCTTTTCCTTCGGCTTCTTGGTGAAGGTTGTAGTAACGGGTACCTCGATGGGCGCGTCGAACATGTCTTCGTCAATCGTCTCCTCGCCGATGTCAGGCATGCTCCGATTTGCGAATGCCTGTCGTGCAGCCTCTGCGTCTTCTTCCTCCAGCTTCTTGCGTCGCTCGTCGGCAGCATCAGGTTGTACCTCGGTTCCCTTGCCCTCGCGGTCCGCCTTCTCTAGCCTTGCGTTTCTGGACCTGATCTCGTCTAGAGCGTCTGCGATGGCCATCTCGGTTTTGGCATCGATGACCTTTGTCTCGAGTTCTTTCATCGCGTCGCGCTCTGCCTCCTCCCGTTCTATGCGATCCAGGCGTTCCTCTTCGGTCTCCTCATTGAGCTTGGCCTCTCTCCACGGCTCGAAATTTCTCTTCGCGCCACGCTCGCATTCGTAGTCCATGTTCTTAGGGTCTGTCTTGAAGGTGATCTCGCCGGAACATCGCGTGCATCGAATGTAGAAGCGGAAGATGGCGATGTTGTAGTACTTTTGGTCGGTCGTCTCCTTGCGCGCATTGAACTTGCGGCCTTTGTAGATGAACTCGCCGCAGTGGGTGCATTTCATGGAGAAAGGTGCCATGAGGCGGACTGTCATCAGCTTGGGACCGGCATTCTTGGGGCCGCGCTGGCGCGTGATCTTCGAAGGATCGAAATCCGGTGGGTAGTACTTGGTGAGCACTTTTCGTTCGGACATGGCGGCGGGTTATACGACGTCTGGTGTGGTGCGGCGCTGATCGGGTGCTCCGAGTTGATGCGTTGAAACAGAATGTAGGGTTTATGCTGCGCAAATGAAGGTCTCGCGCGTGATATGGATGAGGTCGTGTGGCGTGTTGGATGTCAAGTGAGTGCTCGAAATCACGTCCAGGTAACGGCAACCCTAGCGCGGAACTTTTGGCTGACTAAGGCGGCCCGCTGCTGCAGGCACCCCGCAAACATGTGCTCTCGCGTCGGGCAGGCGCGACCCTGGCTCTAAACATCGCGCCGCCGCCGACTGCCACCTCGACTGGGGATATCTTTTGGGGCACATTCACTAACCCGCCTGAACAGACTATACCCAATGCGATAGCGAAACTATGGAGAAATATCTACGCGAGTGGCGCCAGGAAGCCCTCAATCGCTGCCAGTACGACACAGCCATCTTTGTTGCAGACAAGCTGCTGGCACTGACGGGTATGCTCTAACACTCGGCAGGTC